TTTCCATCATCGGGGGCCTAGACGTGGGCTTAGGTTTCACCCCTTTGTTGTGGATAGTCCAAAGATTCTCGCGAAGTGCTTCTAGATTTATATGGCGAACGGCCATGGTTTCTTTTTGGTTAATTTCCTGCGTGCAGATTTATTCCCAAAGTTATAACTTGGACATTTTCAAGGCGGGAGTGAATTGACATTATTTAAGTGTGCATACTCCATCGTCGTTCTCATCGTCATTTTCCATCAGGTGGATATTATATGCGCATTATATATTATAAAAAACAAGAAAAATTCCTTCGATCCAGCTGACGATGAACCGGGGCATTTAGCGAAAAAGTCGTTGGTTTGTATTTGGATTAACTAGTGGAGTATTTGCACAAAAAATATATGAATACCATGGTAGCACAAACATCATAAACAGCATATTAAATAAAAATAAATATTCTTACGTTTTGTACACAATTCAAGACATTCTCACATGTCCTGAAGGTCCTGAGACATTTCATGGTCACCTAATAACAAACTTACCTCGTCAATCGTATCAGTAATATTTTTTAAACTTCCCAATACACAACTATTCGATTTTAAATCGTACTTACTACGTGCATTTTCCCTAGATATGGTTTGGTAGGATAACTTCTAGTACATTTAGAATTTTGTGTAATTTCTACTAATTTAAAATTTCAAAGCATCCAGCCATTTCAGTATGGTGTCAAAAAATGATGGAAATTTATTAAAGTGCAGCCACCTGAAAAAAAGGCTTCCGCCTTTAATACTCTACCCTTATACTCCTACCCTTTTATTTTTAAAATTTCTAAGAATGGAATGTTCGGTATTTATTACACTGTTTCCTGTTTTAAGTTATACTTCACTATAAATATAATGCCACTTTATTGTAAGACTTTCAAATATACAATTTATACTTAAAACTAATTTATACTTGGACTCTTTTTTTGTTTAAAAGTAGGCATCCGACTAGTTTGATGTTAATTAATGATTATTATTTAATAGTAACAGAAACAACATCAGAAAGAACAAACTACCTAAATAACCTTTTTTGCTTTCTTAGTTCCAAATGTCTATCGTACCAAAACAACCCAGAATCGTCTTAAGGATCTTATTACCAATTTATTCATACACAGTACGACAGGTCCTACAGGGCGCTATACTGGTACCTACGAATATCTGCATACCGAAGCCAGGCTATTCGCGGGTTCTTGAATAATAATCGAGCTAACTAGTCGGCACGTGGGCCGCGCGCCAGCCATTGTCTGCCCACCAGAATTGTTGATTTAGACCATTTGTGTCTTTGTTTATCTGCTCTATATTGCAACGTGTATTTGTAAAGTATAGTTAAGTAATTATTATGTAAGAAATTTATTGAGATTAATATTTACAATTGTGCGACTGACTAAGTATTTAAGAAAATAGGCTAGGTATGCCGAGTATTTTCTAGCTCATTTATTTTTTTACTGCTGTTGGTAATATCCGGTTCTCAACAGCTCATAAACAACTGTAAAATTCTGTTTCATTTCAACAAAGTGAAGCGATGTTTTTCAAAATGATAAAGAGATAGTTCAGAAGTTAACTTCTCCTTTGACTACAGTTTCAGAATAATGTTAGACACGACTACACTATGTTCGAGATATGTCCCAGAAGGCAGACGACCACAAAATGTCATATAACTGCATTGAAATCGATACCCGCCAAGGGAAACTCGCAGCGTATATAGTGGAAACATTTTCAGATTCTCGTACTCTAATAACACTTTATTGCAACACATTTTGCCTCTTTTTACCAAGTCATAAAGTTTTTCATACGTTTTGTTTGTACATATTTTATTGCATACAAGTATGGACATAAGGAAATAATATTAAGATGTTATTAAAATACCAGTAGATAAAAATATTTTGTTTGACAGCTTTTTTTATGATATAAAGTGACGAGGTGGACAAGTCGTACGCCTGGTCATAAACTACACGCCCATCCATAGTTGCAGTGCCACTCAAAGTTTTAAATGCTCACAATGGTTATTTGACACGTAATCCCGGGATGCAGGTTTCTTATAATTCGTGTCTTGTATATTTTGTAAATATAATTGTATTTTATTTATTAGCGATTTTCTGAAGCATATATGTGTTCTTAACTATTGACGCCTAAGACAGAATATCAGCAAGGGCAGTGTTTTTTCTTTTAATACCAAGTGACGGGACGAACAAGTTGTAAGCCTGGCGGTCAGCGACTGCGGTCGCCACCCCGAGATATAAGTTGTCTATAATTTCGCTAACACGATTGCCGTTCCAAGCCGGAGCGCAGTAATGCTCAGATTACAGCTTGTCGGCAGAAATAGGTAAGGTGGCAGTACTTCCCTGGATGAACTCTTTGACAAGAAGCTCTACTCCTCTACTGCTACTACTATAGTAACGTTTCATGATTGTCTATCGCAGAGACAAAGACGCGTCTGTCTATTATAATAAATTTATAATATATTCTTTTTCTTGTATTATATTGAATGTTAAATAAACATTTTTTAAATTTATTTTTTATTTAAATCGCAAAGATCTGAGAGCGCACTGCCACTGCGCCCGTTACCAGCACCTTCGCTCTTCCAAATTGGAACGCAGTAATGCTCACATTACTGCGTGGCGGCAGAAATAGATATGATAACAGTACGTCCCCTGGACGAACTCTTTCACGAAAAATTCTACTAGTGCTACAACTTAACGCTTCGTACAATATGCACATATTTACACGAATGACATTCCCATTATGATACATTTGCCTTTAGACGTTACTTACATTAAGAACAGTATTGATGCTTAATAAAGGTATATCGCCGGTTGCCCAGTGGTATTAGGGACGATCTTGTTTCGAATGCCTAAAAGCGATTGTTTGTTTCGTTAATCCTTAAGGCATCTATAATGGCTTCTAAGAGTCGCAAATACTCAAATAACAATTGAAGGTCTTGTGTTAAATCTAAGGAATCAAGATATTTTGACTATTTGAGAACAATTTAACTTTTGAAAAGCATTTCGATACTGAAACAAAATACAGTTAAGTACCTACTAATCCTTATAAACTTAAACTTTTCTACTAACCTAAAGCAACGAATAGATGATGCTCGGGTCTCTTGACTTTATAATGGGGACGTCATGTACATACGAGACTTGTTTGTTCAGGAAAACCGAAAAAAGTTCAAAGAGCCCAAAACTCATACATTGGATTTTGTTATAAGTTTCCTCTTCAATCAAACAACATTCTATATCTCTCAATTCGTTGTACTTTTTTAGAGTGGTTACACACGGCGACTCTTAGCAGCGAACACGCGTTCGTGAAACGCGCGATTACTTCGCTACACTTTATTTCGCGCGATTACTTCGCTACGATTTATAGGCGATTGCATCGATGCGAATGCGCGACTGCATCAATACAAACGCGTGACTGCATTGATACAAACGCGCGATTGCATCGATGCAATAGCTTAAATCCCAAGTGTAGCGATGCCAATCACGCGTTTGTATCGATGCAGTCCCGCGCTTGCATTGCATTTGTATCGCTGCTTAAAATCGCGCGCGTGTGTAAAGATAGACGATTAGCGACTGTATCGTGTTTGCATCGTTAGTGAAACAAACCGCGGTATAATCAAGCAGTTCGGTTTATTATTCATACATTTTTTTGTGAAATAACTCCACTAGTTTGCTATAATTATTAATACAATGATCTAACACTTAGAAAAATTCCCTCGACCCGACAGCACCCTAACCCGCAACCACGAGAATACCGTCCCCTCGCTCTTCCAAAAGGCGTCGACTAAAACCTACACAGCATAAAAAAATAACAGCGCTACAGGGTTAATGGCAAAATGCGATCGATACAGTATCCTTGTTCACAGATGTCACCACGTCCCCGACTAACATTTTAGCTATCTGCAAGTAATTGTACGCAGCATCGTTGGTCCAATTCGTTTACTGTTTTTTCCTCCATTAGATTTCTTTACACTTTTATGTTAACTGTTCATCCCTTTTCCTTCTTCTTTCATTATTATATAAACATTTCATCCTTATATAAAAATCAATTTATAATATTTCAAATAACGTTGGTGGTTCATCCAACACTAGACACAATGTACGTGCAAACCTTGAACGCACCATCATTGCGAAATTGTGGCCTATGACATATTTAGTCGTCGACTAGCTCCACTCATACGTCATAAAGTTCAGCCACGAAACGTAGTAATACAAACTTTCATCCCCTATTATACTCCCTTTAAGATTTATTTTTATGACAAAAAGTAGCCTTCTTCTCTACCTCTATACCAAATTTCATCAATATTTTATAATCCAGCGGTTTAGAGTTAGTAGAACTCCTTGTGAAAGAGTTCATCTAGGGAAGTACTGCCTTGGGCCTCTTTCTGCATTGACGTAATGTCAGCGACGGAATGGGTGCGAAAGGAAGACCCTTCCTCTCATCCTATGAATGACAAACTACCGACCTGAGAGTGAATCCTGGGCGGTTAAAACGGGGGCTTTTGTCACCCATAGAACAAGGATTCACGGGTTGGTTGGCGTGCCAAGTATTCCCGGCATACCGCTAACGATAGACAGGGAAATGGTGGTTCCCCCAGAAGTGGGTCCGCGGTAGTGAACAAACCACCGCGCCTGCCCGTGACGCTGTGGTATCCATGGCGGCTTTTCCCCCGGAAATAAAGGGACGTACTGCCACCTTACCTATTTCTGCCGCCAACCAGTAATGTGAGCATTACTGCAATTTGGTTTTAACGGGTTAAGGGCGCTGGCGAAATTACAGGCATACGGCACTTATCAACTTATGTCTCAGGGTGACGGGTGCAGTGGCAGTGTCCCTAAGATCTTTACGATTTAAAGCTCTGAGTGATAGTGCAACTTTTACAGGATAGGCGTGTACTTACCACCAGGCGCATGGATTGGACATTAAAGATACTTAAACACCTAGAGTAATAAATTAATAAAAAATGTTGTTGAGCTTACCTTGACACTGCGTGTCCTTTATCATAAAAAGCAAGAACGCCGCGATCGTTACAAATCTCCAACGTCGCCGCCCCATTTTATTTGATTAATTTTCACCGAATCATTGATACGGTCGGTTGCGTAACCAAGCGAAATTTATAACAGTTCGAAAAAAGTCGCTCGAATATTCAAGTTCGTCATGTTTAGCAATCTAGAGTCCAGCACAATCACATTACACCATTTTGCAGCACGATCACATCTGAAACAAAAGAAAGATATATTAATGACACGGTCCTTTCAATATTCTAAATTAAATTGGGCTGGATAAGGAACCATAAATTATTAGGACCGTACTCTACCATACGTTTACTGACTGCTATATTCGAGCTATAAATTGCATTAGACGTGTTGATTTGTTACAAGGGAATTCATTTAGTAAATAAGAGACCGAAAACATCGTAACTATCGCTAATAAATAACACGTGTACCCAAATCAAAGACCCTATTCGGATTTGGTCACAATAAGAAACCATATAGTTTTGTAACTACTCGAAGGCTGTGGCATGCGTTATTGTCCGTGACTAAGTTTTGACACGTTCAATACAAACTTTGCATGACAGGTTTTCAAAGTTTACCCTGGCGGTGGCGAGGCGGGCATAAAGAAGACCGACGTCAACTGTCATTACTAAGGTCCAAACTTTGACGGTTTAGCCTAAAATTTCTGTCTACATAACATTATTATGTTGGATAAAGGAGTCGTTGTATAATGTAGTCAGTGGAAAGTTTATTTGTGAAATCTAATGAACGCAGACGGATAGATCGCCAACGATAACTTGAATCGAGTACGTAAAGATAAGAATTAACGCTAAAACCGTGACTGTAACAGGCGTCGTGCTTTCGTCTTGTAACGTTTTAGAATGTAACATAAACAACTTCACACGGCACAACGGTACAGATACACAATTATACTCGAAATGCAAACAAAGTAGCAAAGATTGAGAAATTCTCGACAGTTTAGGCCCGAAATTTACAATAGATTTCTAATAAAGTCAACGAACTGACTCAAGATGTTTGTTAAATAAAAACTAAAATATTGGTTGCTCTAGTAGGCGAAAACGAGTTATATAACCTGTTCGTAGACAGTAACAGTGTTTACCGTAAAATTAAATATTAGAATATAATAGTACAGAGTACCCCGTGTCACACATTAAACATTTTATATTGAATCAACATAAGCACTTCGGCAAGAAAAGTACTGACATTTTTGTGTGCAGTACTATCAGTGTCCATGAAGAGTTAAAGTAATAATCTGTTATACTACAGTAAATTTTTTTTCCTCTTCTGCGTTAAGAAATTTTATGAATTTCAGTACCGGCACGCTATGATGGCCGTTTTAACAAATTACAATAGTGAGGTCAAACCTAAAATATATACAAATGCGAGTCGCATCTATAAGTTTTTAGATTTATAACTAGTATTGCAAGGGGTAGCTGATTAAAAGGTTTTAGTAAAACGAAAATAAAAATGTTTAGTTAATATAAATCGTCAATTCGAAACTGCTCTGTTTTGCATTGAGCTTTGACGCGAGTTTGCCGAGGTAAAAGTTGTGCTGGACAGCAATCATTTGAGTGACGATCGTATTAGATTTCATTTTTAAACATTTCGAATTTCGAAAAACAAAGGCCGAGTTGTGTCAAAAAATTATACATCCATAAATTTACTGCACGTCACTATTGACAACAATGTACATCAATTATCTCTTTCGACGTAGTTATGATACGAAACTTGATAAGCTGATAAACGTTAAAACGGCTATCATAGCGTGCCGGTACTACATTTTATTATTATAATGTGCTAGACAAGTGGTTGTCAGAATTGGTGTGGACCAATTCTGGCCTCAGAACGAAAAAAGGCACAACTGCTGTATAAAGAACGCATAGTTCTGTCTTTTTTCGTTACGAGGGCAGAATTATCTGATCTCAAAGTAGGGAATTCCCTGTAATATGAGTACCAGAGCAACGGATTTCACTCTGAAGCACTTCCCAGAACAGCCTGAGCAGGTCCAAATTCAAAAATTTCGTTTCTCTTTTTGGTCCTACCGGGAGTGGAACCCAGGGGTTTTTCATCCAGCGCCCGCAATATTGACCGTTGAGCCACTGATGTCGTCGTAAAAAGTATAATTGTATAGATGAAATTAAAATAACTTTAATAACAATAAAACACATTACTATTATTTGTTACATTATTATTATTACATTACTTAAATTGTTGCACAAAGCTATTTTTAACTAGTTGTCGTCGGCACTTTACAATGTATACATAGTTTATGACTACGCAGGTGGCGTTTTAACACTAGCTTTCAAAATCAAAATCAAAAAATTATTTATTCCATAGGTAAAATAAGTAATATAATATAAAATATAACATAAAAAATAAATATAAAATATAATATAAAAAATAAATATAAAATATAATATAATAATGTAAAAATAAATAAATAATAATAAAATTTTCTAGTGTAAATACACTTAAAAACGTCATTTTTTAAACTACTGCTTATCCACTATGCTGACTTTCCTGAAAAGAACGAGCAAGAAATTCCAGGAGTTGCTATTTTCAAAAAAACTTAAAAACTATGGAATACACTTTAAATTAAATTAGTGTGGAATCTAGAGCCATGTCATCTTTCCATACATTTTTATCTAACATGTAATCTTCAAATTTGTAATATGACTTTTCAATTAAAATATTTTATTTATGATACTGCAATTTCCGTTTTGCAACATTGCTACTTGCGTTGGAGAAAAGCCTAAGTGAGAAATGAAATATTACGAATAATTCTTACGTTAAAACACAAAAGGTGTCGATGCTAATAAACAAATGAATAAGAGGAGGGAGAGAAAGCTGGACATTAATGATGTTTGCCGACAGACAAATATGGCATACCATGTGCGATTTACGGAAAGGGATATAGTTTTGATATAAACAGTAGTTGTAAAAGGGTGTTTATGTTAAACTATAATTTTATAAGAAGTCGGTTGCTTATGTCATTTTATTTCTAGAGATTGAATTTTATTTTTTAGTTTTATGTGTGGTGTTGTTTGTCGAAAAAAAAAAGTGAGTGACAGTGGTAATGCCACAAGTAATCGAGGTGATAGCATTCGTCGACAGTGAAAATGAACAAGTCAATATAGAAAAGTTAGTTTTTCTTCACTGATCCGGCCGCGGATCGAACCCGGAACCTCAGAGGTAGTGACACCATAATAACCATTGTGCAAACCCCTCGACAACGGAGGTCATCAATTATGTCTGCGTTAATAATAAGTGATTTGGCATATTGAGACGTTTGTATATACACTAAGTAATTATAACTAGTTACTGGTTACTTACAACGTTATGTCTTCTTCTTAATATTTACTCATACGTTTATATGATTCTTCTCACAATGTGCCGTATTACCAGCAGTTTCACGTTCCACGGTCACCTCGGGTTAATTGGCGAGGGGCAATTGTCAGCTTAAATTACGGACATATCTGTCTACCCTCTTTCGCCGTCGACGAATGGGTATTCGTCGACGTCATTTCGGCAACTTACGGCGGTACCAAAATCACTTTCGCTTTTCCTACATACCACACTCAGAAATAAATATAGCGAGAACAATCAAAGTTATTCCATAGACATTATTGTTTAGTGAATTGGTTTGCAGAACTTTAAATGCATTTAGATATGGTAGCAATAATTTTATCATTTCAAAAGAAATAATGGTAATGATATGGGTATTATATGGAAGAAACAAAAAATATGCAATTTTGCGCTGTATGTAAATTCAAAGTGCTTAGAAATCCATCAGTGTAATTACACCTCTTCATCTTTTTTTTTATTGTATACTGCAATGTTGGCTACTTATTTACAGTGCCTATCCCTTCACCGTGGAAGTGCACATTTGTGCCTACTTGATTCTGACGGAATATTTATGGTCTCCGACGCAAGTGTAAGGGCGCCTTCAAATTGAAAGTGTTGCAGTGGCGTTACCGTGGCGCTGCAGCCGCGCCACTACTAATTTAGAATAACCATTATAATTATTTCGAATCGCAACTGCGCTACAGTCGTGGCCACGGAAGAAACAAAAACAATGGAAATGCCTTAAGTCTCGATTACTATGAGAAGCGATGTCGCCAAAACTCACACATTCTTAATTTGAAACACTACAAAATCTTGATGTTGATTGGTCGTAGTTTCAAATTTAAAAAGACATTAACAAAATCTGGATTGCTAATATAATTTAAACTCTAGCCTGTTGGCATATCGTTGAAAGGTTTTTAAATATAAATTTATATTGTATCAAAATTTTCAAATGTGCTACCATCTAGCGGTTCATTGCTGAACAATGACGAATTGGAGTTATTAATTTAGTTCTCCAAACAAGAAGCGACCATATTGGGGTATAAGCTTTACTTTCGTTTCTTCTAAGAAAAAAATATTTCAATATACAGGAAATTGATTTTTTTTTAAATAAGATTTTCCGATGATGTGCTACCGTGCATCAATATCATTTTTGCACTCCAAAACAACACAATAAGGCATTTTTCTAAGATTTTAGACAACTCGCACGAAAGAATGACACAACCATACCATACAAAGCAAAAATGGCGGATTGAGCTCAGATAGGTCTTTTGAGACCTGTAGTTGGCACGCGTAAGACGCTAACTAACCACTTCTACTGTATTTATTGTTCTGTGGTCGCGACACACGCGCGCCATTTTGCAGACTAGATATTGTATAAAAATGAGTAGTGGCGGGACTGCCGCTCCAGTGACACATCACTGCAACGCTTCTACAAGCTTTTAATTTGAAGGCGCCTTAAGTGTTTTACTACCAGTAGAGCTCTATGTGAAAGAGTTCAGGGAAGTACTGCCATTAGTAATGAAAGAGACTCAGTCTTTTAAGGCGTTTTATAACGACTCGAGTCCATTTTACAGGAGTCGACTCTAAAATTAAGACTGAGGGTTCGAGTTTTTATTAATAAGACTTAGTCATTATACTAAAAGACTCAAAAGACTTAAACGACTAAAACGACTTGAAACACTTCAACGACTCGAGTTGTTTGCAAAGGACTTATACCTATTTTATGTCTTATTAAACCCGAAGTTTATAAATAAAAATGACGTAAGTAGTATGTAGTAAATAATCACGTTTATTTACTTATAATAAAAATCGTAAAAAAAAACCTTGTGGGTAGAAATAAAATCACGCCATACG